AGAGTTTTTGATGCTTTATTTTTCTCGCAAATCTTCACATTCTGTCTCTCAACAGAGACAATTCGTACTCTGTCCCAGAATGCATTCTCTCCCGTAATTCCTGTCCCTTGCAGTACTCTTTTCATGCCCATGATCTCGTCTTTCCCGCAATGCCCTCTCCCAAAACTCCTCTTTCTCTGCCATCGCCCCATGTTCCCATTTCATTTCTTTCCAGATATTCTCTTTGCAATATTGTCTTGCCCACAGTGCCCTCTCTCTCCCACAATTCTTCTCCTATCCCACAATTCTGTCCTTCAGCTTCTTGTCATTCCCACATGGCTCTGTCTCCCACAATTCTCTGTAGTTTCCTGCAACTCCCCTTTTCTCACACAGTTCGTGCCCTCCCATAACCCTTTGTTTTTGCACAATTTATTGTTCTCTCCCACAGTTCTGTTTAATGCTCTAATTATTTTTCAAATTGCAACATAAATATTGTACAGTATTAGCTTAAGGTGTATAATATAGTAATTCAGCAATTTTATTTTTTTTTATTTTTTTTTTAAGATTTTATTTATTTGCGAGAGAGAGAATGAGAGACAGAGAGCATGAGAGGGAGGAGGGTCAGAGGGAGAAGCAGACTCCCTGCCGAGCAGGGAGCCCGATGCGGGACTCGATCCCGGGACTCCAGGATCATGACCTGAGCCGAAGGCAGTCGCTTAACCAACTGAGCCACCCAGGCGCCCAGTAATTCAGCAATTTTAAAGTTTAGTGCTCATAAGTGTGCTCTTAATCTCCTTCACCCATCCCTCCACCCACCTCACCTCTGGTGACCACCAGTTCCTTCTATTTAAGAGTCTGGTGTTTTTGTTGGTCTGTTTTTTTCCTTTGTTTATTTTGTTTCTTAAATTTCACGATGAATGAGATCACATGCTATTGGTCTTTCCATGATTCATTTCACTTAGCATTATACTCTCTCTCTTGTTGCAGATGGTAAGATTTTATTCTCTCTTAATGGCTGTATAATATTCCATTGTATGTATATACCACATCTTCTTTATCCATTCAAGTATTGTTGGATGGTTGGGTTGCTTCCATAATTTAGCTATTGTAAATAACGTTACAATAAACACAGGGGTGCATATATCTTTGAAAATTAGTATTTTTTAAATTAGTGTCTTTCAGTATGGAGGTTTCCCAAAAGTTAAAAATAGAACTACCCTATAATCTAGCAATTGCACTACTAGGTATTTACCTAAAGTATACAAAAATACTAATTCAGAGCGATACTTGCACCGTGACGTTTAGAACAGTATTATCTGCAACAGCCAAACCACGGAAACAGCCCAAGTGTCCACTGACTGATGAATGGATAAAGAAGATCCAATGGAGTATTACTCAGCTATTCAAAAAAAATGAAATCTTGCCATTTGCAATGACATGGATGGAGCTAGAGCGTATTATGCTAAATGAAATAAATCAGAGAAAGACAAATACCATATGATTTTGCTCATCTGTGGAATTTAAGAAACAAAACAAATAAGCAAAGGTAAAAAATAAGAGTGAGAAATCCAGATACAGACTCTTAACTATAGAGAACAAACTGATGGTTTCCAGCAGGGAGGTGGAGGGAAATGGATTAAATAATGATGGGGATTAAGGAGGGTGCTTGTGGTGATAAGCACCAGGTGTTGTATAGAAGTGTTCAATCACTAGATTGTACATTCGAAACTAATATTATGCTGTGTGTGTTAACTAACTGGAATTTAAACAAAAACTTAAAAATAAACATTAGCAGGGCACCTGGGTGGCTCAGTCGGTTGAGCGTCTGCTTTCGGCTCAGGTCATGATCCCAGGGTCCAGGGAGTTGGGCTCTCTGCTCAGTGGGGAGTCTGCTTCTCCCTCTCCCTCTGCTGCTCCCCCTGTGTGTGCTCTCTGTGTCAAAATGTTAAAAAAAAAAAAAATTTAAGCAAAAAAAAAAGACTGCCTGTTTATCCCACAATTCTTCATTCTCCCCCACCCTTGTCCTTTCTCACTAGTCCCTGTCTCTCCCGTAATACATTTTTTTCCTACAGTTTCCTTTGTTCTCCCTAATACCCCTTTCTCGTTATCTTTTATCATTTCCACAATTCCCCTTTCACTGCCATGATCTTTGTTTTTCCCACAGTGCCCTATTTTTCTCATCATCCCTCTTTTCCCACAATTCCCCTTTCTCCTCTGTAATCCCTTTGTTCCCATAATTCCATTTCTGTCCCACAATTTTCCTTCCTTTTCCATAATCCCTTGTCTCACCCACAGTCTCCTGTCTCTTGTGCGAATCCTTCTCTCCCATAATCCCCTTTGTCCTACAGTGCCTTGTCTCTCCCACAATTTTCCATACTCTCTACGGTCTACTTCTCTCAGTTCACTTTCCCACAATCTTCCACTTTCTCCCACAATTCTGGATTCTTTATTGTCTCTCACAAATCTGTCTTTTTCTACAATGCTGTTTTCCTCCATGCCCTGTCTTTCCTAAAATGGTTTCTTCTTAAGTACTCTGCTCTTCCCCACAATTCCTTCTCCCACCATTCTTTGTTCTTCCCCACAATACTCCATTTTTGCCACAATTCTCTCAGTTTTTCATGCTCCCTCACAACTCTGTCTCTCCCAATTCCATTTCTCTCCTACAGTTCCCCATTCTCTCCAGAATTCCCATTCTTTCCCACAGTTCTGTCTCTCCTATATTCCCTTGTGTCCTCCACACTTGTTTTGTCCACAGTTGCCTATCACTACCGCAATTCCTTATCTTAGCCTTCATTCCCTGTTGTCACTTGCCCGCCTGAATGTAACACCGGGTGGCCCCGTGGATGGCAGCTGCTGGGGAAGTGTGGAAGAGAACATACCCCAGGCCTCTCACTCTCGCGCCCTCCCTAGATCAAAGTCAACACCTTGAAGGTGATCCAGGCCCAGGTGTCTGTGTTCTCTGCGGCTCATGGGTGCCCACGGATTGGGCTTTTGGATCGAGGGCTTTTAAGGAATCCAGGAACGACAGGTGAGGGTGCAAGAGACACCCAGTGTGCTTTCCTAGATCTTGGATCTGTGTGGGGCCAGGAAGTTCCCAAGAACCTGCCTGGGCTGGCAGGGCTCGTCAGAGAGGGACTAGGAAGGGGGCTGGCCCTTAGGCATCATGAGCTTGCTGGCATCTGCATATCCTGCAGGGACACTCGTCAGGTATTCATACTTTGGACCAACAGAGAATTAGTACAAATCCCCCAGTGGCCTCATTGGATTATCATGTCAGAGACTTGCTCAGCCAGCACATTCCCTCTTTCTATGGAGACCTTTAAGACCAGAAGAGAAAACCCATGGGAATGCAGGCCTGCTGGCAGGCCCTCAACCACAGGGACCACAGTGACGGCAGTGCAGGCTGTGCTGGGCTCAGGTGGCTTGGCTCTTTGGCATCTGAGAAAGCTGTTAGGGTACAAATGCATTTTCTCCATGGAGCCCCAGGGGAAGGATGAAAGAACCGGGAACTCTTAAAAAGCTACAGGACCCAGAGCATGCCCTGAAGTGTGAGGTCACGGGGGGGGAGTGTCCTCAGCCCAGACCTTGATCACAAGCCACCATGTGATAGCCCCCCCCGAGTCTTTGGAAAGACCACAGAAGTCACACACAAGTTCCCATGAGCTCAGGACGTCCTCATAAACAGGGGGTGACCCTGTGAAAATCGAATCTTTTTGAAGTGCCACCAGGTCCTGCAAGCAGCAGTGCAGTCTTAGACGTGTCTTCCAGAAGCCTTCGCAGCTGGTGCCTGGTCTCCTGGAAGAGCAGGCTCCCCGCCCCGACTGCTGTCCAGCCGTAGGTTCCGTGACCATAATCAGTCCTTCCACCCGCCTTCTACATTGCCCCGTGTTTGTAGTGCTGAGGACACGGAGTCTGACGTACTCAGACCCGCGCTCTCCCAGACTCCTCCTGATTCAGCCCCGGGAGGAAGCCCTGACCACTGGTGTGTGTGTGCGTGGCTTTAGATAGGGTGTCCTGGATTTCTCCCTGAGCATGAGGGAACACTTGAGTTGAGACCTGGAAGCCGAGAATCCTACCGCTGAACAACCACTGCCATTTGAATTGAGATCTGAATGAACTGTAGAAGGGAGCCGTGAGAAAATCTGGAAAAGCTTTACAGGCAGAAGTGATGTGCAAAGGCCCTGTGGTAGAACTGGGCTGGGAGTGAGAGAGGCCTGTGTGCCTGAGCGTTGTGGGTGAACAGAGTGTGACGTGAGTGGAGACTCCAGTGACCAGCAAGGCCCATTGGTGGATGGAGTTTGGGATTTGGAGATACTCATGAAGGGCAGTCCCTTGCCCCATGCACGGGTGAAAAGGCCGCCCTTCTTCGTGTCTTCCATGTGAGTGTTCCTCTAGGTTGTACGTACCTGGTGCACAGCATGCATGGCTGGATACTTGTGGAATGAAAGAACAACTGTAACGTCTGTTCCAAAGGATCCGCTCAGGTTCTGAAGGAAGGTGTGTTACGGGCAATGGTTCAACAGGCCTTCGGGATTACGCTGTTGGCGGGAGTAATTTCCCTGATTGGCACCCACTCCCCCCCCCCCCCCCCGCCGAAACCACGTGGCATCAGCCATGAGAAGACAATTCAGAGGTGTTTTCGTTTGACAGGGGCTGGTGGTTTCCCCCCACTTGGACCCCTCCTGGACTTGAGTGCAGGGGACCAGGCGACCGTGGGGTCGTGTTGCTGAAGGTAGCACCCCCTGCGGCAGCTGCCCCGGCCGTCACACGGGGCCCCGTGCTCCCGTGCTCCCCACCCGCGACAGCACAGGGCTCCAAAGCCTCCCTGTGTCCACAGCCGGTTTCCATTTGATCTACAGCATCCCTGTCGTCCGGCCGAGACACACATGTAGCCACCGGTGCGGAGGCCTGGAAGAAGGGATGCAGGGGCTGAAGATGGCCACGGAATGGTGCATTGGTGACCCATGAGAGACCCTCAGGGACATCGACACCGTCACAGTCTTTTCTCTTTTCCTCCCCAGGTTCTGATGCCAGCACACTCGAAATCCATGTCGCAAGTGTGTCCCGCAACGAAAATGAGGTTTACTCTGTTCCCAAACCCCAGGGAGACCTATGAGAGGGATGGGACAGGAGTCCAGACACCACGTGCTCAGGCTCTGCATTTCTCGTTCTTTAGAACTGTGTTCTCCCCCAAATCTTGTCTTCACCCTGTTAGGGTTTCTTCCCGAGGAATGTCTCTGATGAGAGAGGATCCATGAGCATGATTGGGAACAGGAGGAGAATTCCTTGCAGACCGGACACACAGCAGCTTCTCCAGACTCTTAGCTGCCCTTGGTTTTTCTGAGGCTGGCTACTGTAATGTAAAGGTCGGATCCAGGTCTTTAGAAAAGCTAATAAAATAAAGTAGTTGTAACTGAGCTCCCGGCCTGACTTGCATGCTGTCTGAACACACCACCTCTAGCAAATGCTCTCGAGCAAAGTCCTGATGATACCGGATACAGCAGGGTAGAGAAGCGGCAGGAACAACGGGGCAGCCGGGGTGGTTGCACAGCGTGCCCTTCACACGCCCCTGGGGGCAGGGAAGGGGCCAGGTCTCCATCCCTCATGTAGCTGTCGGTCCCCATGCTGTACTGAGCAGTGACATAGTCTGAGAAAACCTCGGGACCTGCTTTAGATCATTGCCTAGGTTGGAATCCATCTATCAGTGGAATCTGTATATATTTAAAAGTTTCGTTGTTGTTTTTAAAGATTTTTTTTATTTATTCATGAGAGACAGAGAGAGAGAGAGAGAGAAGCAGAGGGAGAAGCAGGCTCCCAAGGAGCAGAGAGCCCGATGCGGGACTCGATCCCAGGACCCTGGGATCATGACCTGAGCCGAAGGCAGACGCTTAACCATCTGAGCCACCCAGGCGCCCTATATTTAAAAGTTTTTAATGTATTTTTTACTTACTGGCAAAAGTACTGTAGTGTGCGTTGGCGTTGCGAGCCACCTAGGTAGGTCTGTAGAAAAACAAGACGTGGTTTTCTCGGGACCCTGCAGACAGCTCTGCCATAGGACCCCTCCCTTCATGTCAGCCAACTCCCGTTTGCTCTAGGAAAGCTGTCTAGGAAGCTTCTAGAGTTGTACTTCTGGAGAGTCACTTGGTTGCAGATGGGCTTCAGGGCAGCACACTTGGACTGTGACCGCAGTGCCCAGGGCTGTGCATTCCTGAGGATGGACCTCTGTTAGATCACACCCACTGTGATCCAGAGGGCCAAGGAGGTGTGGACGCTTAGCTTTTCGGAGTGGAGCTGCCTTCTTACTCTCTCTGTTGACATTCGGTCTCCCCCAGCGTCAGAAGCCCCCTTTCTGCGTGAGGATTCCCCCAGTGGCCTGAGGCCAGCCCAACCCCACCCCAGAGGCAGAGATGCCATCTCCTCGCTTTCCCGGCCTCCCTGACACCCGGAGCAGGACATAGGACCTGGCAGCCAGACCCCCCTCCCAAGTCCAAGTTAGAAGCCAGTGCCCAAGGGAATGGCCTGACAGAAGCACGTGTGAGGGGTTGGCGGCAGTCACGCCCGCTTTGGAAGCAGCGTGGGTGCTTTCAGGGGCCACAGTCCGGCGTCCAGTGTCACGGTGTGGGCAGCGCCCGGTGCCGTGTGTGCGCGTGTTCCCTGCATGCAACCGATCCCAAGCCTGATTTTGGCTATTCTCGTCTGTGTGGCCTCCAGTCTGCTCCTCCGGAGATTCCTCGGAGGGCCCAGGAGCCTCATTCATTGTTTTTGGCTTACACTGGCCGGAGTCAGGTTCAGAAGCTTGCAAATAAGACCCCTGTCTGATGGGATGATCCAGTTACAACTCCTAGATGGGGTGTTCATGTCACCTGGGGAGGGGGGACAGGGAGCCGGAAGGTGCATGAATCCCTCCTCACGCCTCCTTGGCAGGCACCGAGCAAGCCCATGGATGCACTGGGAGCACGCGAGTGAGAATCCGACACGTAGCGTATCAAGTCACTCTAGTGAGGAGAGAGAGCTGCCCAAAGGAGTAAGTGAGATAACGGCGGGCAGCCTGGTTTGAAGCAATTTCCCAGTCAGGCTGGTTGCTGCAGGGGGGGCCTCGTTACTGTGCTACAAAACTCGGGGGTGCGAAGGGCAATGATCCAGCGGAGAGAAAGCAGTCATGATGATGGGAGAGATGTTTCCATGAAGGCGCGGCACCTGGGACCCACGAGTCTGGGCTGGCTGGACACACACAGGCGGTCGTAGCTGGGGGCATAGTGTGGGTGGAAGGATGAGGCGGTGCCTACCAGGTAGCTTCCGTGTGATTTTAGTTTATTGGCCAGTTTAGGAGCCAGTCGATTTATCACACCTTAAAATACCTTTTGAGGACTCTGCTCGCATCCCCTATTCTAGGAATGCCCTCATGTTCATGCACAGCGTGCAGTCTGGAGAGAATGTATCCCAGCCGGCTGTTTTTTTCCTGTGGTTTCCCCCAGTCGCTTTGGCTTGACGAAAACTATAGGTTCCTGGTCTGAGCCCCCCATTCTCCAGAGCATCTAAATGTTGGCGGAAGGTAATTCCGTGCAGAGCGGTGTCCCGCGCTCTCCCCCACCATCCCCACGCCCTGTCCACGTCCTGCTCCGGGTGGAAATGCGTCCCCCTTGTGGGCCTTACCTTGTCATGGATGAGACATTTCAGAGGAAAAGGAGTCAGACTGGAAAAAAATATATATATCGGCCACGTTCTGAGTGGTTTGTAAGGGATACACGGCACTGCTTCCCACGTCCTCCTACCCCTTCTCACGCAGCTCAAGGCGGCGTCCAGATCTCCGTCAACAGTAACCACAGCCAGCACACACAGGTGCCCAGAAACCTTCCCACAAGCACGAAGAACATTCGCCAATATCCTCGAGGAACCGCATCACGATGCGGACAGGTGAAGTTCTGTTGAGTGACTGCAAGCTGCAGATGCCCCAAAGTAAAATGAAGTCCAGCTTCTTATAAAGAACCCCGTTTAAAGCTGTGTGTTCCCACCAAAGCCACACATCCCATACGCCTCTATCCCGGGGACCCTGACCCGCGCCGTGTTCTCCCCACTGCCGTGCTCGCCACTAGGTTCTCCCCAGGACCTTCCTGTGGCTCTCATGTGGTTCACCCCCCGACAGCACCGGGACCCCAGTCCTCCGCTTCGTTCTAGTGCAGGATCAGGTTGGAATTGGCGGGAAGGACACCGTGACCTTCCTGGTGACTCGCACAGCGAAGAAGACTTGTACAACACTCTGCCTCTCCTCCTCACGGGCCTCCTCCCTAGTGCTGGGTACAGCAATGCCCGGTCATCCTGTAACACCCAGCAGCCGAATAAGGTGACACCTCGGCATGTGACACAGAGCACATGTCGGTCAGCATTTGTGGACCGTTCGTCTGCGTCGCCGAGTCTCCCATGTGCCTGTGACTGTGGGCTCCTCCAGTGGCTCAAAGCTAGTCCCTGAACTCCGACTCCCAGCAAACCCACCTGCTGCTAAGACTCCTCTGCTCGGACTTCTTACAGCCGCCAGCCTGGAACAACGTAATGACGAAGGAACACGTGGAAACGCGCCCCCGTTATGGAGCCTTCAACAGTAAGCAGGGGCTGGTGTTCCTCACGCATCGGCCGTCCCGTTCCCTGGGCCCTGTGTCAGCAGAGAGGTCCTGGGAAGAGGCACTCGAGTTGTGAGAAAACGCACAGTGGCGTCTTCATCCATCCGTGGCACCGTGGGCCCGAGAGTTAACCCCGCGAGAGCAAGAAAGCACACCCACCGAGTTCTCTAGTATCAAAATAGAGCGATTTATTCAAGACACTGAGTATGATCTGTTGATTTTCTCTTGAAACAAATGAGCTACAACACACAAGGTGATTCTTTTTCTCAGAGAGCGTGAGGGTGAGTGAGGGTGGAGGAGAACCAAACGGGGGTCGATGTGGATGGAACAGAATCTAGAAAATGCAGACAGAGGACCACATCTGGCTGTATGTCTGACACAGACAATAAAAACTGCAGAAGCCAGAATTCAAAAACCTCAGTGAGTGGCGGAAGGAACATTTCTGCATTTGACAAGAAACACGATTAAAATAAAAAAGAAAGAGGTGGAACAGAAGGCTAAAAATAACAAAGCAGACCCTTACATTTGACAAAGTGCACTTCACTCGGCTCCGTGATCGAGGTTTAGAAAGACGAACGTCAAGTCCTAAGTGTCGTGTGGGGTCAGAGGGTGGACACCCTGTCACGGACGGCCCTCGCTCCCCCTGCCGCGGGACAGCATCCCTCTCCCAGGTGGGCGTGCGGGACACGCTCTTGGTCACTCGAAACCCAACCGAAGATTCTGCGAAGGATCATCGGGTTACTCTGATTTCAGAATTAAGGTTCCATTTGGTCACTAAGACATAAGCATTTACCCACAATTTCTCAGAGCTGGAAACAAAGGACAAACAGGAACTTCACCCACGGGCCATCCCTCGATGACGGAGATGAAGCTGCCGGCTTTCTGGCAGAGGGCGAGTGTCGCAGGCTCGATGGCTGGTGGTCGTCGTGCTGAGGATGGGGATGGATGGAAGGGGCGCTGCCCGCCCGCTCCTGGTTGGTCCCTCTTCAGGCCCATGGGGAGCTGCTCGGCAACGGCTGCTCGGGGAAGCTAGGGATGCGGACAGTGGGCCTTTGTCCTCACCAGCTTCACTCCTGCACACAGCGGCCAAGCCTGTGTTGTGCGTGGCCTTCCAGCCCTTGGCTCCTACCTCATCGTTCCCAAGTGACTCAGAGTCACCAGGAGGCTAAGGACTGGGCTCCTGACCTCCCTGTGAAGATTATCTACTGAACCCCTTACAGGATGTCTCGCCACGGCCACCCAACAGCGTCTGACTTGTCAAACACAAGCCATGTCCCGACCGCGGGCCACCCCTCAACAACGTAAGCTCTGTAGAGGTGACATTTTTACTTGGGGTAGGGAGTTGAGATGGTGTTGGTCTGGATCCCCAACAAACTGCACCCCAAACCTAATGATGTCTTGGGGCCAGGCAATGAATCATCTGCTATCCTCAAAGATGGGAGTGGTGACTCCACGGAACTCTGACCCCTGGGCTAAGCATTTAGGTAACAGAGCCAGAATAAAATACCCAAGTCGGACACAGAGCACTTTGGTCTCGTGTAGACAGGGCGTGAGTGACTCCGATATCCAAGCCAATTAATGATCTGAGAAGAATGAACACACTCTATCTAGTCTTTGTAGCTGGTCCCGGCCCATTCCAAGTTCTGTAGGAAGGCCTTGCCCTGCCCTGCCCGTTGGGTTTTGGCTGCATGGACGGAGGCCACCCTCGAACATCCTGTCTCATTGCCGGAACACACACCCAGCTGACACCTGCCCACGACCGGACCCCCCACCCCCAGGCCTGGCCAACTTCCTCATCTCTTC